AGTCCCCAGCCCTGGGGGGATTTAACAGCCAGGCAGGGGCGGTGCTGAGGGCCGGGGTTTGGGGGTGGGATGGCAGGGGTAGGGGAGCAGTTGGGCTTGATGATCTTGGAGGTCTTTTCCAACCCAAACCGTTCTATGGTTCTACTTTTTACCCGTTGTGTACCCCTCGAGATTGAGAATTCAACCAGGGTGTGATTGCTGCAGCCCAGGCTACCTCCAGGCTTGACCTCTCTGATAAGTGAGCCACGGGTCCAGCGGTGCTTCTCCTCTGGTCGGGCTCTCCATCATCTCTGCTAGGAAGTTGTCCTCAATGCGCTCCAGTGGCTTCCTGGACTGTTCGCAGTTCGCTGTGCTGCTTTTCCACTATGTGTCTGGGTGGCTGAAGTCCCCTGTCAGGATCAGGGCCTGCGAGCGCGATGCTCCCTGCAAATATCTGCTGTCATCTCCTTTTGGGTTGGGGGAAAAACATCTGCTGGCCTTGCATTGCACGTGGAGAATAAGAAGCAGCTCCGATGGGGGGAAAAGACCTTCTCGTCAGTCCCATGCTGATCTGAGGATTTGCTGCCTACCTGCAGACTGCTGAGTCGCTGGGCACCCCCAGCTCAAAGCCATTTGCCAGACCAAGTTGGCTCCTGGTCCCAGTGAGAGCGTCCTGGCCGCGGGGAACAGCGTGGTGAGCTCGCGTCCTGCTGACGGCTGAACGATGGGCTGGCCCCCGTGCTTTGTTGTCAGACGGACGAGCAAATAGCTCCCAGACAAAGCTGGCCCAGAAGGGCTTTCTGTGTGGCCACCAGCGCTCGGGCACATCGTCATCTGGCCCTGCAGAGAGCGTGGAGGGGGTCGGTGCTTTTGTAGCGGTTTGCCTTAAAGCTGATGGCTGCTTTCAGGCTCTTTCACCAGCAAACCCACCAAAATCCTTTCCTAAAATCCCCTTGGGATGCTCTGAACAGGAATGCTTTTCTGGTGAATGAGGTCAGATTGGTGTGTCTGGTTTGTACGAGCGGTTTAGCGATCCCCTCCTATGAGCGTGATTTTTCTAACTGGTAACGGATTCGATGGCCGGGAGTGTTGTTTTCGCGGCGTGAAGGCGGCACCGCACCGCGTGCCACGGCAGTGGGGTTTTCTGCCCCGCTCCCAGTGTAGCTGAGCCTGAAGCTTCCAAGAGCAGGAGCTGTCAAGAAATAAACCGTGGCTTGCTGGTTGGAAGAGTGCCGGCCGCTGAGACGAACTGAGTTTGCCCAGTGAGATGCGGTGGGGTCCCTCTGGGCACCTTCTCCTGTGAAGGTGAAAAGCAAAGCTCCTCATTGCCTCTCGCTGTTCTCTGTGGCTCCCGATGTGGATTCAAACCCAGTGCGGTGACTCCCAGCCTGACTGGGAGGAGTCAAGGGTCTCTTGGTGCCAAAGCTGTTTGGTGTTTCCGCACCTGCCCCTTCCCAGAAGAGCAACGTGAGTGCTTTGAGTCCTGCCGTATGCTCCTCTCTCCAAAAGGAAGCTGCCAGCTGCTGACCTCTAAGAGCACAGACATTCCTCAGATGTTCCTTTGCCTTTCAGGAGCTACTGCTGCTGGTGGCCAACGCTTGTTTTCGCTCCCACCTTGGCGGGAGAGCGTCTAAATCTGCCAAAATCTGGAAAATTGCCTCTTCGTTTGTTATGATGCTTAGGAGGAAACCATCGGCGTGGAGTTATTGCATCTGTAGAGAGGAGGTGCTTGGGTTGGGCACCAGGCAAGTGGTGGGAGACCCTCGGACCTCAGTTCTGGACGGTCTCTGCCTTCCCTGTGCCTGCCCCGGGCCTTCGGGCAGAGCAGAGCGGTGCTTGCAGCCGGAGGCACTCGCACCTACCTGCTGCAGTTTGGAGTAAACCCAACATCTCCAGGCTTTGGTCGCAGCCAGAAATTGGGGTGGCTCTGCAGAAAGTGTAAAGAGGGAAACTGTGCATGACTTGTGGGTTGGTTTTTTTTTGTTTGTTTTTGGTTTTTTAATTTAAGGAATGTCTCTTCAATTAACTTGTTTTAATGACTAATCTGTGTTGTTGCTTCCAGGTCAGGGGCCATCACATTGCAAAGCTTGATCCTCTCGGCATTAGTTGTGTAAATTTTGATGATGCGCCAGTAACTGTTTCTCCAAACGTCGGTGAGAATTACTCTGCAAATTAATTCTAATGTAATTTAACTTTTTTACCCCTCCCCTCTTTTGTTTTTCTCCCTTTCCCCTCTCCCTCTTGGTACCTGTTCTCCTTTCCATTCCTGGCCCATTTCATAGATTCGAGGGCATCATGTAGCACAACTCGACCCACTGGGCATCTTGGATGCAGATCTGGACTCCTCCCTTCCAGCCGATATTATCACATCCACAGACAAACTGGGTGAGGGCTTTGAGAGCAGTTAGTGCTGCATCGCTTGAGCTCCTCTCTCTTTCACAGCTTTGTAGGTAGATTGCTTCACCAGTAAGGGGGGAAAGGTCTTAAGTTTCCTTAGTAATGATCACTCGAAATTTATAGTCGACCGGTGGCTGTGGAGCAGTTCTGCCCCCCTCCGGCTGTCACGGCAAATGGGTCTTGTGCCAAACCCCTATTGCTCGGCTCATGTTTCCCCTCCAACTGGTGCCAATTAATTATGTCACTGAACTCATTCAGGGGTGGAAGCAATTGCATCTTCTGGAAATGCAAAGCAGAGAGGTTTTGTGTTGGTGAGAGCTGGGGGTCTGTTCCCTCAGCTCCTCTTGCTGCTCGTGGGGGCCCCGAGAGCGGGGGCAGTGGGCTGGCTTTGTCTCCGCAGGGCTGCAAAGCACCTCTTGGTGTGCCCCTGCGACGGTGCCCTGCCCTCCTTCGCTCCCAGCTTGCTGCAGCACCTGTAAATCCCTGAATTGCCCCCTTTTTTCCAAGACTAAGCTATGAGTCCCAGCCGGTGATCATGACAAGGAAGCTTTGGGATGCGTTCCCGTCTGAGTGGAGAGGTGGAAATCCCAAGGCCTTTGAGTGAAAGATGCATGAGTGTTGCAGTGAAGCATGCGTGGTACCGAGGACCTGAAATCCTAATCTGAAAGTGCTTAAACTCAGCACCTCGCAACGTGCTTTAGATGTGATCTCTGTAGTACGCTGCCATTCCTCTAGCTAGAACAAGGTCGCGGCGCTGAGCTCTTTCACCTTGCTGGTGCTTTCCCAGGGTCGTTACGCCGGCACTACGAGCGCTCGAGAGGCATGCTGCTAATGTAGAGTAGAGCAGCCCTAATGATTACTAACCTCGCACAACGGAAACAGATGATCGGAGCGCACGGTGCATGTAAACGATCTTGATCACTTGTTCAGCTGCCAGCACAGGGGCACCAGCCCTGGACCTGCTGGACCTTCATACAGGATTACTGGGAGCGATAGGGAGGGATTAGGTTTTGGTTGTCCCAGCTCGCTGGATGATGGGGAAGCTGCTTCATCCCAAAGTCTGGACTTCTGATGCGCTTGTCTGGAGGACCAAGCCCTGGCTGTGCCTTGGGAGCCAGCCAGCTCTGGGCTGGAGCAAACCCTGTGCCTGGGAGGTTTTGATGGTAAGAGGTGGGGAGATGATGGCCGTGAATCCAGGCGCAGGAGAGGACATAAACACTGCGAGAGGAACAGGGAGACTTTCGGTGACTTTGGAGAGGAAGGGGTGAGGAAAGCCTTTCCTACTTGAGGGTTTTTGGCCTCTGTTGTGGGCGCTATGGTCCTTCTGAAGCACAGCAGCAGAGCCCTGAAGCCCTGTGCCTGGTGGAGGCGTTTCCCTGTCAAGAGGAGAGCAGGGTCTGCACGAAACCCCGAGCCAGCCGCAGCGCTTGTGGTGACGGCTCCCCTTGGGGGAAAAGGGAGCCGGCTGTGGGGGGTGGTTACCACGCTGCTCGGTAAGGCATGGGCTCACAAAGTGGTTTGGGGTGGAAGGGACCTCAAAAGTCAACTGGTCCAACCCCCTGCCGTGGGCAGGGACGCCTTCCACCAGACCAGGCTGCCCAAAGCCTTGTCCAGCCTGACCTTGAACATCTCCCATGATGGGGCATCCACAGCTTCTCTGGGCAACCCCTTCCAGTGCTGCACCAGCCCCTCCCAGTGAAGACCTCCTTCCTGATATCGACTCTAAATCTCCCCTCTTCCAGTTCAAAACCGTTCCCCCTTGCCCCATCGCTGCTGGCCCTGGTAAGGGGTCTGTCCCCGTCTTTCTCACCAGCCCCTTTAAGCCCCAAAAGGCCACAACAAGGTCTCCCCGCAGCCTCTCTTCTCCAGGCTGGACCCCCCCTGACTCTCTCAGCCTTTCTGCACAGCAGAGCTGTTCCAGCCCTGGATCATTTCCGTGGCCTCCTCTGTCCCCGCTCCAGCAGGTCCGTGCCTTTCTTGTGCTGGGGACCCCCGAGGTGGACGCAGGGCTGCAGGGGGGTTCTCAGGAGAGCGGGGTAGGGGGGCAGAATCCCCTCCCTTGTTCTGCTGGCCGTGCTGCAGGGGATGCAGCCCAGGGCACGTTTGGCCTTCTGGGCTGTGAGCGCATGTTGCCGGCTCATGTCCAGTTTTTCATCCACAAATATCCCCAAGTCCTTCTCCCCAGGCTGCTCTCAGCCCACTCCTAGCCCAGCCTGTTTGAGATTGCCCCAACCCAGGTGCAGGACCTTGTACTTGGCCTTGTAGAACTCATGATGTTCACATGGGCCCGTTCCTCCAGCCTGTCATGGCCCCTCTGGATGGCTTCCCTTCCCTCTAGAACTGCTCAGCTCGGTGTTGTCCACAAACGTGCTGAGTGTGCGCTGCCCTTGTCCCCAGCTGCCCATGTCCCCGACAAAGATGTTAAATAATACTGCTCCCAGTGTAGACCCCTGCAGGACACCACTTGTCACTGTCCTCCATCCAGACATTGAGTCCTTGACCACAACTCTTGGAGTGTGACCATCCGGCCAATTCCTTATCCACCAAGTGATCCGCCCATCAAATCCACATCTCCATTTTAGAGACAAGGATGTTGTGTGGGACGGTATCAAATGCTTTGCAAGAGCCCAGGGAGATACTGTCAGTCGCTCTTCCCTTATCCACCAATGCTGTGACCCCATCGTAGAAGGCCACCAAGTTTTTTGGGCACGATTTGCCCTTAGTGAAGCCATGCTGGCGGTCACCAACCACCTCTCTGTCTTCCATGCGCCTTAGCGTAGTTTTCAGGAAGATCTGCTCCATGGTCTTGCTGGGCACAGAGGTGAGACTGGCCAGCCTGTAGTTCCCCAGGTCCTCCTTTTTTCCCTTTTTAAAAATGGGGGCTATGTTTCCCCTTTTCCAGTCACTGGGAACTTGACTAGTCTGCCACAACTTCGAATCTGATGGATAGTGGCTTAGCAACTTGCACTGCCGGTTTCCCTTGGGACCCTCGGATGCATCTCATCAGGTCCCACGGACTCGTGTACGTTCGGATTCCTTAGATGGTCTTGAACCTGATCTCCTGTGGTGGGTGGTTCTTCATTCTCCTAGTCCTTGCTTTTGGATTCTGTGAGCTGGGTGGTGTGGCTCGGCCACTCGGCCAGTGAAGATTGAGGCAAAGAAGTTGTTGAGTACCTCAGCCTTCTCCATGTTGGCTGTAGCCAGGTCTCCTGTTTTCCTCATCAGGGCAGGGTACGGTTTCTTTCATCTTCCTTTGTTGTCCTGGGTACCTGAAGAAACCCTGGTTGTTTTTCATGTCCCCAGCCAGGTTCAGCTCCAGCTGTGCCTTGGCTTTCCTGATGCCCTTCCTGCACTCCTGGGCCATATCGCGATCATCTCATAGAATCACAGAATCGTTTGGGTGGGAAAACCCCTTTAAGCTCCCCCAGCCCAGCCGTTCCCCTAACCCTGCCAGAAGAGGAGGCTGAGGGGAGCCCTCATCGCTCCCTACA